GCTCCAGCGCCTTCAGCTCCAGGGTCTCCAGCTCTAGCTCCTCCAGCTCCAGCGCCGCCAGCGTCAGTGCCTCCAGCTCCAGTGCCTCCAGCTCCAGCGCTGCCAGTGCCAGTGTCTCCAGCTCCAGTGCCTCCAGCGCCAGGGTCTCCAGCTCCAGCCCCGGCAGCTCTAGCACCTCTAGTACGAGCACCTCCAGGACCAGCAGCACCAGAACCTCCTGTACCCCCAGCTCCAGTAGGAACTCCAGCACCTCCAAGACAAGTAGCTCCAGCACCTCCAACTCCAGTGCCTCCAGCGGCAGAGCCTCCAGCTCCGGCAGCTCCACTCCTAAGGCGAGTGAGCTGAGAAAGCCACTCGCGCAGCTGCGGCGCGGAGAGAGGCTCCCGCCGGTGAGACACTCATGGCGAGGCACCTGCAGGACCTCCAGCAGACGCAGTACCCCTAGGCGCAGCACCCCCAAACTCCGCACCCTAAGACTCAGCACCCCTAGGCTCTGCACCCTCAGGCTCAATACCCCCAGGCTTCGCACCCCCAGGCTCAGCACCCCTAGACTCCGCACCCCCAGGCTCAGCACCCCCAGACTCTGCACCCTCAGACTCAGCAACCCCAGGCTCCGCACCCTCAGGCTCAGCACCCCCAGGCTCCACACTCGCAGGCTCAGCACCCCCAGACACAGCACCCCCAAACACAATACCTCTAGCAGCACCTGAGTCTACAGCGACCTCGACAGGTACAGTCCCAGAGAGTGGGTCTACCTGAGACACACCTGACGGAGCAGGACCTTGAGGGGGGAGGGGGTCTACCGGAGGGGGACCTGGAGCAAGGAAGAGTGGCGGGGGTGGGAGAGGGGCAGAGCGGTAGGGGAAGAAACAGTAAAAGGGAACTGACTCGTCAAACGTGACGTCCTTAGAGGGATGGACACAGTGCGAGGTGAGGTGGTAAAACTGCCATCTAGGCGCGTCAAGGGGGAAGCCAAGGAAGAACAGGGAATAGCGCGAGAGGAGAGTTTGTCCCCGGACGTATCGCGAACAAAGGCACGAGAGCCCCAGACCCGGAACACCGACGCATTGCCAACCTTCCCCGTCCAACGCAGCATGGGCGAGGTCTCCGGCAAGGAGACACGGGGCCAGAGGTTGAGCTGATGCGCAGCGTACCGGACCCCAAACGGCCACAGAAAATGAGGAGCAGCCGCATGGATCATGGAGGTACGAGCCACCTCCATGACTAAGCCAATGCGGCGCTCAGCAATCCCATTTTCCTGCGGTGAGGCCGGAAGTGTGAACGACAGGAGGATGCCCTCCCCACGACAAATGTCCCGCAAGAGGTCGGAGGAGGACTCACCACCTCTGTCAGAGTGCAGACGCAGGACAGGAAGGTCCTCGCTGAACCGCTCGCGGAGCTGGAGACGGACTGCGCGGATCTAAGGGATCAAGACATCAGGGACCTCACCCTTGCTGCGCAAGGGCAAGACCGTGGTGTAACGCGTGCAGTCGTCAATAGCCAGCAGAAAGTAGCGCTCGCTGCCCTGTCCACTGACGCGGGCTGGGCCCCACACGTCCATATGGAGAGTCTGCAGGGGAGCAGTTGTCGGGGGAAACGAGGAGGAGTGAGTAGCGGCGCGCTGCTGCCCCTCGATGCAAGGAAGGCAGGGCAGGACAGGCGAGGGCGGGAGGGGAGGCAGAGACCTGGGAAGACCAGAAACAAGGAGGCGGGAGTGCATGCCACAGAGGCGTGGCTGGGAGGGGTGACCAAGGTGGTGGTGCCACAGGAGAGTCTAGTGCGACAAGAGGCGACACGAGCAAGGGGGTGCTACCGGACTTGACGCGAACACCTGGGCAGACGCAGCTACCTGAGGAGGCTCGGTAGCCAGCGTGGATAGACTCGACCTAGGCCGACGGGTGAACGTGGCCAGGTGACGGCCCGTCCATGTACACGTGCAGATCGACACACGTTGACCCCCAGGAGTGGTGGTAGTGACCATCGCATCCTGGAGGGCAGCGGTACTCACCAATTTCGTAGAGAACGAGGGGAGGTGAAGACCTGACAGTGAGCCGGACGGAACCGCTGGACACGGGAGAACACTGGTGGAACGGGCAAGAACTGGGCCCCCTGAGGGGTCAGCCAGTCTGACCAGTACAGGTGCAGAGAGAGGAGTGAGGGTGGTGCCGTCACGAAAGAAACAGCGGGAAGCACCTGAGTCAAGCGATAGAGGCTCCTGAGTCCAGCGTGAAGGTGTGCAAGGCCTCAGCAGGCACAGTACCAGGGAGAACAGACTCACTAGCACCTAGAGCAGCAGCCTCTATACCTGGGTCAGGCGGCACACACAGGTAACATAGCAGAAAAGGCATACATAGCAGCAAGGATAGCATCATAGTCAAGATCAAAGATAGCAACTCCAGACCTAAGCAGTTCTGCCCAGAGGGGGCGCTCGGCCTCGTTATCAAACTTTGCGCACTAAGACTCGTCTAGGCAGGAGAAGCAGCAGTGCTGAGTTTGAGGCTTCCTGCATGTCTGACCAGCACGGTCACTCGTGCAAATGACATAGGGGCAGCTAACACTATCCCCAGACGCCCCACGCTGAGCAAACCATTCACGTAGCTGCTGGGGCGACGGGGTCTCGCTCGGACGCTGCTGCTACAGCCTCTGGCCACCGCCAGAACCTCCCCTCTGAACAGCTCCACCCCGATTGCCACCACTCCCACCGCTGCCACGACCGCCACCTCCACCGGCCCCACCGCTACCGCCACCAAAGCCCCCACTCCTGCCACCACTCCCACCGCTGCCACCACCTCCGCTACCTCCACCACCTCCGCTGCCGCCACCACCACCACCCCCGCTGCCCCCTCCACCACTCCTGCCACCCTTGCCCTTGTTGCTGCGGCGCTTCCCACCAATAGCAGAAGCAGCCCCGACATCCTCACCACCAAGGACATCAACAGCAGCAGTAGAAGCGTAGGAGGGGGCAAGGGGGGAGGGGGAACACCTCTCAAAGTAGGAGTGCGAGGAGTGCCACGAGCAGCACCTACAGCGACTACACTAGTCTCTTCTGCAAGGAGGTACTTCTCGAGCAGGTCGACAGTGAGGTCGGTGGGGTGAAGTGCGAGAAAGTGGTCCCTGACTGCGCGAAGAGAGTAAGGGAGGCGGGTGACTATGAAGTAGAGAGTGATGTACAGTGGGGGGGGTTTCTGTCTAGGAACTCGGTTGGGAGGGCAGAGCGGTAGCGAGCGTCGCTAGTGCGAAGGTGGGTAACGAGGTCCTCTACCGTGGCAAAGGCAGACAGCTCGGGAAACAAGTAGGGCAGTAGAAGACGGCCTAGAGCAGCAGTGGCAGTGGAGGAGTAACGGGCGACTACGACGTCGTACAGGGCTTTAGCAGTCTTGTGCTGTACGAAGTGAGCGCGTTCGGCTAACGGCAGGTGGTTTCGAACGGCTAAGCGAGCAGCAACGTCACGGGTAAGCCACTATGAGCGAGTCGCAGTGTCAGCTGTGGCGAGAGAGGTTCCAGACGTGTGGTCAAACAACGAAACGCTGTCTCTAGAGTCGCTCAGAAGGTACAGCTGTAAGTCGTCGAGCCACGTATCGGACTGAATCGGACGACCCTCATGATCGAAGGTGAGAACACTGAGAGAAGCCATAGCAAGCAGAGCAGGGTGGCGCGTGACCAGCAGAGCAGCACGCAGGGAGGGCGGCACTAGAGCACTAGGGTTGCACGCAGGGCAGGGCAGGGCGGTGCATAGCAGGGCGGGCAGTAGCTGAGCGGCGCAAGCAGCAGGGCTGGCAGTAGCCGGGCAGTGCAAGCAGCAGGGCGGGCAGCAGCCGGGCGGCGCAAGGGCTACAGGGGAGGCGGCAAGCATGCTGCAAGGGGCGGCAAGCGGGCTGCAAGTGGCGGCGCGCAGGCTGCAAGAGGGGCGGCTCGCGGGCTGCAAGGTGCGGCAAGTGGGCCTCAGGCGGGCGGCGAGCGGGCTGCACGCGTGCGGCGAGCGGGCTGCAGGGGCGGCGAGCGGGCCGCAGGCGGGCGGCAAGCGGGCTGCAGGGGCGGCTAGCGGGCCGCGAGCAAGCGGCGAGCGGGCGGCAGGGGCGGCGAGCGAGCCGCAGGCAGGCGGCGAGCAAGCTGCAGGGGCGGCGAGCGGGCCGTAGGGGCAGCAAGCGGGCTGCAGTGGCGACGAGCGGGCCGCGAGCAAGCGGCGAGCGGGCCGCAGGGGCGGCGAGCGAGCCGCAAGCGGGCGGCGAGCGGGCCTTAGGGGGCGGCAGGCGGGCCTTAGAGGCGGCGAGCGGGCCGCAAGGGCGGCGAGCGGGCCTTAGGGGCGGCGAGCGGGCTGCAAGGGCCGCAAGCGGGCGGCGCGCGGGCTGCAGTGGCGGCGAGCGGGCCTCAAGGGCGGCGCGAGCGGGCCGCAAGGGCCGCAAGCGGGCGGCGCGCGGGCTGCAATGGCGGCGCGCGAGCCTCAAGGAAGTGGCGAGCGGGCTGCAGGGGCAGAGCGCTGGCTGCAGGGGCGGCTCATGGGCTGCTAGGGGCGGCGCGACGAGTTGCTAGGGGCGGTGCTGCGGCCAGCAGGGTAGCGCGTCAGTAGGGTAGGGCGGCAGGGCAGCTAGTGGGGCAGCTCTATGGTGGGCACTAAAAAAATCGGTCCTAGGGAAGGACCTGCTCTGAAACCATGTTAAACTAACGAACAAGAATGAATGCATTGAAGAGAAGTTGGGTACAAGTACTAACCCTAATTGGGTTGTACCCCTTATGGGCTACCCCACTACAGCCTACACAATGTAAGCTCTACATAAGTTTGACAAAAAAAAGGGCAGCCATGGTGGGAGGAAGTGCAAGCGATGCCACATGGTCGTCCATGGGTAGGAAACGGTAGCTTGGCACATGATAACATAAGAAACGGCACTACAGAAGAGCGGCACTACAGAAGAGCGGCACTGCAGCAGTACCAGTCTAAGGGCACGAACGTGCACAGTGAGAGTAGAGGCAGATTCAGGAGGTAACAAGTTTAGCGGCGGGGATCAGGAGGGGGGGCGTTGCAGGTTGAGCATGGCAGCGCGCGCCTCGGCAAACATCTTCTGCTGCTCCGCTATCGCCTCCTCCTCACTCATCCCCACCGGCCCCGATGCCTTGCTGCTGCTCGACCGTCCCAGCGCGCGCGGTGACTCCTGAAGGGGTGCGGAGGAGCGGGAAGGGGGGTTGGTGGGGAGAGAATGCAAGGCAGAGAGTGAGAGTTGAGAGAGATGCATGTCATATAAACCGCTCCCTGCTGCTGCACCAACCCTGATTGGAAAAGCGGTATAAGATAGATGCTGAGAGAGATGCTGGTCAACGAGAGAGATGCTGGTTAACGAGAGAGATGCTGGTCAACGAGAGAGATGCTGGTCAACGAGAGAGATGCTGGTCAACGATTCATTGGTGACAGGCAAGCGGGTGGCCTGGTGGTTGGTTGAACAGGTGGGCATGTGAGACATACGATTCAGTCCAGTGCATAACGGAGTGCAAGTGAGTGGTGCAGACGTGTGTTCCAAACAACAGGCTGTGCACCCCCCGTGTGCTGCACCAGCCTCAAGGCCCACTTGTCTCATGAGAAGAGGTAATGCAGGCAACGGAGGAAGTGGAGCGATGGGGTGCACAGTGGGCTGAAACATGAAACACGGCAGAGGGAAGTGTGTAACAGAGTGTGTGGGTGGGGGAGTGTGTGCAGGGAGGAGTGGGTGAATGAGTGTGCGAGGGAGTGTGTGGAGGAGTGTGCGAGGGAGTGTGTGGAGGAGTGTGCGAGGGAGTGTGTGGAGGAGTGTGCGAGGGAGTGTGTGGAGGAGAGTATGAGGGAATGCAGTGGTCACCAGTGTTTCAGACTTGTGCTGATCGTACGCTGCCTGCACCTCCGCCAGATAGCTGCTGAAGCCCAGCGACTGCATGCACGAGAGGGGCAGAGAGGCAGCAGGGGAGGAGGAGACAGGCAGCAAGAGAGGGGGAGAGGCAGCAGGAGAGGGGGAGAGGCAGCAGGAGAGGGGGAGAGGCAGCAGGAGAGGGGGAGAGGCAGCAGGAGAGGGGGAGAGGAGATGCAGCAGGAGAGGGGGAGAGGCAGCAGGAGAGGGGGGGAGGCAGCGGGAGAGGGGGAGAGGCAGCGGGAGAGGGGGAGAGGCAGCGGGGGAGGGGGAGAGGCAGCGGGAGAGGGGGAGAGGCAGCGGGAGAGGGGGAGAGGCAGCGGGAGAGGGGGAGAGGCAGCGGGAGAGGGGGAGAGAGGCAGCAGGAGAGGGAGTGAGGCAGCAGAAGAGGGGAGGGCAGGCAGCAAGTGAGAGGGAGAGGCAGCAGGAGAGGGAGAGAGGCAGCAGGAGAGGGGGAGAGGCAGCAGGAGAGGGAGAGAGGCAGCAGGAGAGGGGGAGAGGCAGCAGGAGAGGGGGAGAGGAGAGGCAGCAGGAGAGGGGGAGAGGAGAGGCAGCAGGAGAGGGGGAGAGGCAGTGGGAGAGGGGGAGAGGCAGCGGGAGAGGGGGAGAGGCAGCGGGAGAGGGGGAGAGGCAGCGGGAGAGGGAGTGAGGCAGCAGAAGAGGGGAGGGCAGGCAGCAAGTGAGAGGGAGAGGCAGCAGGAGAGGGAGAGAGGCAGCAGGAGAGGGGGAGAGGCAGCAGGAGAGGGAGAGAGGCAGCAGGAGAGGGGGAGAGGCAGCAGGAGAGGGGGAGAGGAGAGGCAGCAGGAGAGGGGGAGAGGAGAGGCAGCAGGAGAGGGGGAGAGGCAGTGGGAGAGGGGGAGAGGCAGCGGGAGAGGGGGAGAGGCAGCGGGAGAGGGGGAGAGGCAGCGGGAGAGGGAGTGAGGCAGCAGAAGAGGGGAGGGCAGGCAGCAGGTGAGAGGGAGAGGCAGCAGGAGAGGGAGAGAGGCAGCAGGAGGGGGGGAGAGGCAGCAGGAGAGAGGGAGAGGCAGCAGGAGAGGGGGGGAGGCAGCAGGAGAGGGGGAGAGGCAGCAGGGGAGGGGGAGAGGAGAGGCAGCAGGAGAGGGGGAGAGGCAGCAGGAGAAGGGGAGAGGCAGCATTAGAGGGAGAGAGGCAGCGGGAGAGGGGGAGAGGCAGCAGGAGAGGGAGAGAGGCAGCGGGAGAGGGGGAGAGGCAGCAGGAGAGGGGGGAAGGGACAGCAGAAGAGAAGGGGGGAGGCAGCAGGAGAAGGGGAGAGGCAGCAGAAGAGAGGGAGAGAGGCAGCAGGAGAGGGGGAGGCAGCAGTAGAATGGGGGGCAGGTTGCAAGAGAGGGCGAGAGGCAGCAGAGGAGGGGAGAGAGGCAGCAAAACGTCAAGAGATTCAATCGGAAAGGTGAGGAGGACACAGGCAGGGGAAGCATGGACTGGCTAACTTCTACCACCCCCCACCAATGCCCTCTATCTCACCGCACCGCACTCTATCTCACGTCACCGCCCCCTACCTCAACTCACCGCCCTCTATCTCACCTCACGACCCTCTATCTAAACTCACTGCCCTCTAATTCACGTAACTTCCCTCTATCTCATCAACTCACCGCCCTCCCTCTCACCTCCACCGCCCTCCCTCTCACCTCCACCACCCTCCCTCTCACCTCCACCGCCCTCCCTCTCACCTCCACCACCCTCCCTCTCACCTCCACCACCCTCCCTCTCACCTCCACCGCTCTCCCTCCCTCTCACCTCACCTCCACCGCCCTCCCTCCTCTCACCTCCACTGCCTGCAGCACATGCTTGTCCTCCTTGCTGCCTCACTTGTAACACTCACTGCCTCACTCATTGCCTCACCACCACCTCTCAACCCCCCCACTCCCTCCCTTTTCCTCCTCACCTCCAGCGCCTGCAGCACGTGCTCCGGGGCGATGGTGCGCTTGTCCTCCTTGCTGCAGATCTCATTGGCCTCCGATGATATCAAATTGATGAACTCTGCATGAGGGGGTGCGAAGCATGGGGGTGGTCGAGGAAGAAATAGAAGGCATTTAGATGTATTTAGAGGGCATTTAGAGGGCATTTAGAGGGCACTACGAGGGCATTTAGAGGGCACTACGAGGGCATTTAGAGGGCATTTAGAGGGCACTTGAAGGGCACTTAGAGGGCACTTAGAGGGCATTTAGAGGGCATTTAGAGGGCACTAAGAGGGCATTTAGAGGGCATTTAGAGGGCACTTAGAGGGTACTTAGAGGGCACTTAGAGGGCATTTAGAGGGCACTTAGAGGGCATTTAGAGGGCACATAGAGGGAATTTAGAGGGCACTTAGAGGGCACGACAGCATCGGATTGATCAACTCTGTGCAGGGGAGGCAGGGCTTCTGTGGTCAGTCCTTGGGAAGGGACTGTTTAGTAAGCAGGAAAATCAGCAAGCAATTTGGTAAAAAGAGCACTCACAACACCCCGTTCATGCAGGCAACCTCTTCAACCCACCGAGGCTACCCATTGAGGCGACCCACCAAGTCAAGCACTTCAACCCACCGAGGCTACCCATTGAGGCAACCCACCAAGTCAAGCACTTCAACCCACCGAGGCTACCCATTGAGGCAACCCACCAAGTCAAGCACTTCAACCCACCGAGGCTACCCATTGAGGCAACCCACCAAGTCAAGCACTTCAACCCACCGAGGCTACCCATTGAGGCAACCCACCAAGTCAAGCACTTCAACCCACCGGGCTACCCATTGAGGCAACCCACCAAGTCAAGCACTTCAACCCACCGAGGCAGCTCAACTCAACCCACCAAGGCAGCTCACCCGCCCACGGAGCTCACCCGCCCACGCAGCTCACCCGCCCAGGCAGAGACATAGAGCCACCGAGGCAACCCACCGAGGCAGCAGTCCATGAGGAGGTCCTGCGTGTCCTTGGAGACGCGCACGTCGCGCGGCAGCATCTCCTTTATTAGCCTACTCATTGTCGCTGCCAACACCACCACCGGGGAAGGGTACAGTAAAAAGTGGAAAATACAATCAAGGGGAGGGGAGAAGGCGGAGCTGGAGTTGGCATGAAAATTGGATGGCAGGCACTCGGGGCTGCATATGGGTGAAGAGAAGGGAGGCGACAGGTTGAGAGTAGAAAGGTGAGGGACGAATTAAGGAGCAGAGCACAGAACGTTTTAGTGCGTCTGAGGCAGCGCGGCGCGTAGCAACCCTTCTGGGAGAGGTTGCTGCGCCTAGCAGCAGGCCGTGTGGAAGAGGTACCTTTCGGCAGCGAAACATCTTCAGGCCGCTTCGCTCCCGCCTCCATCGCCCCCTCGCTGCCCTCGCCCCCTCGCTGCCCTCGCCCACGTCGCTGCCCTCGCGTCGCTGCCCTCGCCCACGGTTTCCTGATACTACCGGTAATTCGCGTAATAAGCGCAAGCAAGGAATATTGCTGCGCTGCTGCCTCGTAGCGCCGAGCGCGTGGTTTTTTTTTTTTTTTTTTTTTTTTTTGGGCTTTAAGGAGATCCCCGGAGGAAACCAACCCCCCGTAGGGAGAAGGCGCTTCGGTAAGCAGTAACGTCTGTCCACGACGTGCTGCCCCCTTCACCTGCTCGTGTCTCTCAAGCGATACGACGCGATAGTGAATTCGACGAAGCTATTCGTGCGACGATAATCGAAAGCGCGCGTTGATGCATCACAATTGTTGGCCTCGCGGAATAGATGTTGGAAACGTGCTTCTTGCAACTTCCAAGCTTGGCATGTCGCGCATCACTCGCTTTCCAGTCCCAGCATTTCTAGGTTGGGAAAGTTGCTCCAGTAGCGTCTCGAGAACCAGTGGTTATGTTAGGGTTATAAAACGCCTCGTCATTGTCGATACAGTGAATCTCATGTTTCTGCCCTGATTACAGATTCTACTACCGCGGATAAAAGCGCAGGCCTATTAAAAGCGCATGCGCTTCTATCTGTAGCAATGATCTTATTCCCGATCCTCAATTATAAGCGCACCCCCTTAAAAATCATGATTTATTATAAGCGCATGTCAGTTTTAAATTTGAAAAACTGTCAAATTACTGTAACAAAGTTCACTTTAGGAGGCGATGAGTTGAAAATCAGATTTCCTTCGCATTCAAACCAGGCCTGTCGAAGTCCCTCAGACCAAAAAATTGAGTCATGAGCTGCTCGAATTCTGGCCCTGATTTTACCGGGCGCAGTCCAAATTAAAAACTTGAAATCAGGGTTGCTTAGGAAAGTGTGACACTGATGTAACACAGGAGGATGTTTTCTCTTACTTAGCAGGAAAAAGGTACATATGAACTAATCCACACACCTACAGCCTCTACATCGTAGGCAAAAGCACCATAGGAAAAATCATCGGGGAGTGGGGGTATGGGGGGGAGGCGGAGGGAATTTGGGGGGGGGGGGGGGGGTATGTCCTTCGAAACAGAAACCAAAGCTTTGATTCAGGGGAAGGCCCAAACGAGGCCCGTAACGGTCACGGGTGCCATGCGGATCTAACACTTTAAATGGTCGAGCTGCTCGAAACGTAGGCCGGAATGTTCAGGGCATTCAGGGCAAATGCCCTTGCTTCTACAGCCCTGATTCAAACCCTGCACTGGCTGCGCGTCCAGTCAGCAAGTACTGTCAGAAGCTCCTAGTGACTCATTTTGAGTGTATGTGCTGGCAGGGAATCTTTCCCTGCCAAGTAGCGAGAGTTTTTCACCCACAACCCAGTTTCAAATCGACTCGATTGGGTGCGCAATGACACAAACTACATTTTCGTGCTAGTAGTATTTTATAAGCGCATGCGATGATATATTTTACTCAATTAAACGCGCATCCCCCTGAAAATCATGTTTTATTATAAGCGCAGGTGCGCTTATATCCGGGGTGATACGTTATGCACATATTAATGTGAAGCTCGCTACTGTGTATGGATTGCATTGGGTTGTTCAACCTTCTGCGCATTCCGCACAGTGTAACGAAATGCATTTCGGGTTCATTAAGGCACTCAACTCAATGGTGTATGAATGTCATTCGTCAGACCAGGGAAATGCCAGTTCGGATGGTTGGCGTGGTTTGGCGCCAAAAAAATGAAAACTCACTCTGGCAATCACAGAGGAGCATCAGCAGGCGCATTTGCAGCATCAGCAGTAGCTGGGGGTGGGAGGTCTAGGGGTATTGGTCCCTGCACTTACGTTCTTCGCACCGGCAGCGCGCCGCTCCTCACTCCTCCGAGTTCCCTCCGACAGAGGCTCCCCTGCAGACTCTCCACATGGACGTGTGGGGCCCAGCCCACGTCCGTGGACAGGGTCACGAGCGTTACTTCCTCCTGGTCGTTGACGACTACTCGCGTTACACCACAGTCTTCCCCTTGCGCCGCAAGGGTGAGGTCACTGAGGTGTTGATCGACTGGATCCGCGGTGCCCGTAGCTAGCTCAGCGAGAGTTTCGGCTCGGACCTTCCTGTTTTGCGTCTGCACTCAGACAAAGGTGGTGAGTTTTCCTCCGACCTTCTGAGGGCTTTCTGTCATGCGGAGGGCATCCGCCAGACGTTCACGCTTCTGGCCTCCCCACAGCAAAATGGGATTGCTGAGCGCCGCATAGGCATGGTCATGGACGCCGCTCGTACGTCCATGATCCATGCGGCTGCTCCCCATTTTCTGTGGCCGTTCGCGGTTCAGTACGCTGCGCATCAGATCAACCTTCAGCCTCGTGTCTCCTTGCCGGAGACCACACCTACTCTGAGGTGGACGGGGAAGGTTGGCGATGCATCTGTGTTCCGTGTCTGGGGATCTCGAGCTTTTGTCCGCGATACTTCAGCGGACAAGCTGTCCTCCCGTGCCGTTCCCTGCGTCTTCCTTGGCTTCCCCCCTGACGCACCTGGGTGGCAGTTTTACCACCCCACCTCGCGTCGTGTTCTGTCCTCTCAGGATGTCACGTTTGACGAGTCGGTATCTTACTACCGTGACTTTCCCTACCGCACTGCACCTCCCCCCCCCCCCGCCACTCTTCCTAGCACCAGGTACTCCCTCGGTAGACCCCCTCCCCCCCCAGGGTCCTGCCCCCTCAGGTGTGTCCCAGGTAGACCCTGTCGAGCCTGTCGAGGTAGCTGTCGACTCTGGTGCTGCTAGGGGTGCTGAGCCTGCAGGTGCGGGGCCTGGGGGTGCTGAGCCTGGGGGTGCTGAGCCTGAGAGTGTGGAGCCTGGGGGTGCTGAGTCTGGGGGTGCAGAGTCTGGGGGTGCTGAGCCTGGGGGTGCTGAGCCTGAGCGTGCTGAGTTTGGAGGTCCTCCGGGTGTCCCGTCACGGCGGGAGCCCCTCTCTCCGCAGCGGCTACGTGAGTGGTACGCTCGGCGCTGTAGCTGTGCTGCTGGAGCTACGGGGCCTGCTGCTGGAGGTGCTTCTGGAGCTGGAGCTGCTGGAGGTGCTGCTGGTGCTGGAGCTGCTGGAGCCGCTGGTCCTGGAGGTGCTCGTGCTGGAGGTACTGGCGCTGTTGGAGGTCCTACTGGTGTTGGATCTGCTGGAGGTACTGGAGCAGCTGGTCCCGGAGGTGCTCGTACTGGAGGTACTGGAGCTGCTGGGGCTGGTGGTGCTGCAGGAGTTGGAGCTGTAGGTGCTGGAGCTGTTGCTACTGGAGGTGCTGCTGGAGCTGGAGCTGCTGGAGGTACTGGAGCTGGTGGTGCTGCGGGAGTTGTAGCTGGAGACCCTAGAGCTGAGGGTACTGGTGCTGTCTTTGCTGTTTCTGGAGGCGCTGCGCGGCCGCGGCCGTACTACGTTCCGCTCCTTCAGCAGGTTCTTGGTCTCCCGCCTTCTACTGGTCCTACTCCTCCCTTACTGAGTTCACCGCCTGTTCAGTCACAGTCGCAGTTACAGCCAGCCTCTCCACTGCCTGGTCCTTCTCCTTACTCTGGACCGACTAGAGGTCTTACGGAGCGTCGTGAGCCTGACTCTCGGCCTGCGTCGCCCGAGTCTCGTCCTGCGTCACCTGAGTCTCGTCCTGAGTCGCCTGTTTGCGCCGTTCGCACTGGTCGACGTGTTTCGCGTCAGCGTCCTCCTCCTGTCCCCGGCACTCACTATATGACACTGCGTCCTTCCACTGCTCCACAGCGTGTCCCTCTGCCGTCTCCTCCTGCGTCCTCTCTTCCTGACGGTCCGGACCCGGAGTCTGACTCCCTTCGTGCTGCTAGTCCTACTGTCACGCGTTTTCTGGCCACTGTTGTCACTGACCCTTCGTTTGAGTCCACTGCTGCGTCTGCTCTAGTTGTTGAGCTTGTTGACTTTGCTGCTACCTGTCGTCTAGACTACGCCGCTAGTCTTGTTGCTGAGTCTGAGTCTGCGTCCGTCTGTCCTCCGTCCGTCGGGGGTGAGTGTGCTCTTGGCACGGACGTCCTTGAGGACAGACAGGAGGAGTTTGAGTGCTTTGCCGCTGCTTCACCTCATCTCGTGTCCATGTTGCTTGCCCCTGAGGGAGACCCGGATGCACCAGACATCCCGACCCCGCGCTCTTACGCAGAGGCGATAGAGGGTCCCTACTCCTCTCAGTGGCAGGCAGCCATGGACGCCGAGATGGCTTCCTGGAAGTCCACAGGCACCTACGTCGACGAAGTTCCCCCGCCTGGGGCGAACATCGTCAGTGGCATGTGGATCTTCAGGGTGAAGCGGCCGCCGGGCTCTCCGCTTGCCTTCAAGGCGCGTTACGTTGCACGTGGCTTCAGTCAGCGACAGGGAGTTGACTTCTTCCAGGCCTTTTCCCCTACCCCGAAGATGACCACTCTTCGGGTGCTGCTGCACGTCGCCGCTCAGCGTGACTACGAGCTACACTCTCTTGACTTCAGCACAGCCTTCCTACAGGGCAGCCTGCACGAGGAGATCTGGCTGCGCCGCCCACCTGGCTTCACTGGGTCGTTTCCTGCTGGTACCCAGTGGAGCCTCCGGCGGCCAGTCTATGGTCTCCGCCAGGCACCCCGTGAGTGGCACGACACACTGAGGACGACTCTTGCTGCTCTTGGGTTTGCTCCTTCCACTGCTGACCCGTCGCTGTTTCTACGCACCGACACCACTCTGCTGCCGTTCTACGTTCTCGTGTACGTAGACGACTTGGTCTTTGCTACTGCTGACACTGAGGCACTCGCCCATGTGAAGTCGGAGCTGCAGAAGAGACACACGTGCACAGACCTGGGTGAGCTGACAAGCTATCTTGGCTTGCGGATCACCCGGGACAGAGCACAGCGCACCATTACCTTGACTCAGTCACACATGGTGCAGCAGGTCCTTCAGCGCTTCGGCTTCACGTACTCCTCGCCACAGTCCACTCCTCTGCCTACCGGTCACTCGCTCTCAGCTCCACCTTCGGACGAGTCCGTAGAGCCAAGTGGCCCGTATCCAGAGCTTGTGGGTTGCCTCATGTACCTGATGACCTGCACTCGACCTGACCTTGCCTACCCTCTTAGCATTCTAGCACGCTATGTCGCTCCTGGCAGACACAGGAAGGAGCACATGGATGCAGCTAAGAGGGTGTTGCGCTACTTGTGCAGTATGTCGGGCATGGGGCTCGTACTTGGAGGACGGGCTCGAGTTGTCCTCACTGGTCACGCAGACGCTTCCTGGGCTGACGACTTGGCTACGTAGCGGTCGTCACAGGGTTACACCTTCAGCCTTGGCTCCGGCTCTGTCTCTTGGCGGTCTTCCCGCTCGTCTTCTGTTCTCAGCTCCAGTTGTGAGGCTGAGATCTACGCAGGGGCCATGGCTGCACAGGAGCTACGCTGGCTCACCTACCTGCTGACCGACCTAGGAGAGCCGCCTCGTTCTCCTCCAGTGCTGTACGTTGACAAAAGGCCATGATTGCCTTGTGCGTGGCCACTCGGGCCAACACAGCTGATGTTTTCACCAAGGCACTTCAGCCTTGTGATCATCAGCGTTGCTGTACTGTTCTAGGTCTTGTACCTACTGTGCCTCACTTGCTTACTTCTTGACTCTGCTTGTACTGTGATCTCTATACATATACCTTCATGCGTACACTTGCTAGGTTGTGTTCACTATATTGCTTGTTCTCCTTTATATAGCTCTGCATGTGAACTGGCCTTGTGGCCATTTGCTTGTGCTCAGAATGCGTGGTGACGTCGTGATCCACCCTGAGCTTGCTTTGCCTTTCTTGACCGGTCTTGTGACCTCTTGTTCTCCCCCACTTTGCCTATGGGGGTGTGTCAAACTTATATGCTATAGTCTATCTAGGCTGTAGTGGGGTAAGTTCATATAGGGTACAACACTTTTAGGTTTCCTACTTGTACCCACCTGCTTGCTAGTTCAGTCATTCCTTCCTTCACTATTCTGACATGGGAGGCTAGGGAGGCTTGAGAGGCTAAGTCAGTAGGTGCCTCTCACTCTCTCTCGAACGTTCCTTGTATTAATATAGGCTTATAAGGGACAGCAAAGGCTAGGAACATAAGCAAAAGTACAAGCAAAACAGGCACAACCTGGTGCTACAATACTACCCCACCCCCCTAACCCCCCCCCCCCCCCCCCCCCCCCCCCCCCCCCCTCTTTGCCTACTCACTCCCCGGCTCTAGTGTTGAAAAGCAGTCCCCCGGGTACAACTCCCCCTCCAGCCCGCTCACAGGGGGGTTCTCAATCTGTGCCGCCCGGTTCGGTTTGACGAGGTAGCTCACGGCCTGGGATTTATGTAGTGACACCGCCCAGCGCTCATGGCCTGGGATTTCTCTCTCTCTCTCTCTCTCTCTCTCTCTCTCTCTCTCTCTCTCTCTCTCTCTCTCTCTCTCTCTCTCTCTCTCTCTCTCTCTCTCTCTCAAGCAGTCCTGTATTAATAGGGTGCACAAGGTACAGGCATGGCAGGTGATGGTTGCAAGACTAACTAGATATGGGAGCAACCTGGTAGCTAAACTAGCCGAGCTAACAAGGCAGAGCAGTGCAGGGCATAGCAAAGCATTGGAGTAAGGCACCCCTAGTTCCTGCAACCTGGTCCTCACCACCACACCCTCTGTTCAGGTAGAGCCGAAAACACCCACCCCAGGACCTTGGCAGCTCCATATAATCCTGCTCTGCTCGAGGCCCTCCTTACTATTTCATTCTTGTTCCTTTATCTGCCAGCTTTCACCCATCAACCCCCTGGCAACACCTTCTGTTTCCCCATCACCCCCTTGTCCTACCCACTATGCCATTACCATCTCCAAATCGTCTTCCAGCACTTGCCATAGGTCCCCCAGGCTAGGTTCCCAAGGGTCCCTGGCGGCCTGTGGGAACGCCGCCTCATCTGAGAGGTTGGACTTGTTCAGGTAGGACGTCGCCTGGGACCGCTGCAGCATCACAGACCAGCGCTGCCGGTAGTGAGCGGTGAGCCGTGCAGTAGTCGTCGTCAGCTTCCCCTGACGGTACTTTTTCTTGGCTGCTGAGGTGGCAAGGAGGCGTAGGAACTGCTGTGTGTCAGTTGCCAGAGCCCCGTACGTCTCAACTGCCAGCCCAAAAAAGCCTACATAGTCTGGTCGTCCCTCATAAAGCCTGTGTTTCCTCGCAGAAGCTTCCTCAGCTGCCCATCCCGGCGGTTTCCGTGCCCTTGTGTCGCGTTGCTGGAGCACGGGGTCGGTCACTGTCACATCGGTCACCCAGGTCTCATTTGACTCTTTGTCTCTCACGGCTAGGTCCCCTCTCTTCCTAACGATCGGTGGGGAGAAGGCTGCCGTCTCATGGAAGCACGTGAAGTCTGCCTCCCTTGCCATCCTGAGGGCCGCGTACACCAGTGAGTTGTGTGTTCTAACCACATCTCCCCCGTACCCACACCTGAGGAGATGGTTCGGTAGGCTTGTGTCGGTGATATCGGAATACTCGCGCTTGCAGGGGCACTTTACAGTGACCGGCAAGGACATGCCCATGCGGAAGCCCAGTGCCAAGGAGAACTGACCAGGGGCAAATGTAAGGTCAGCTCTTGAAGGCACTGCATGTAGCCAATCTCCCGCCCCCACCCCTTGTAAGCTGATGAGGCGTATTGCATGCCCGCGGTGTGTGCCCGGGCGGTCTGTGATTGTGTCTGAAAGCAGCTCCGCGGCCCTTCTCTCATTGATGTGGCGGGACAGCACTAGCTGAAGGTTACCCTGTCCTGTCGGCTTCTCCCTGAAAGCCTGTAATGCAGCCCTCGCGGGTGCTGGGAGTGCTGCTTCCAGTGGGACTAGCTGATTGACCTCCGGTACCGCGGGGCTCCAAGCGTGGTCAAGTAGCGTGATCGCCCTGCGCAGTAGGTATGCCTCCGGCAGGTTCATCTGCCGCAGTAGTTGCTGGGCTGCCGTGACTGACGCTATGTAGGCTGCCGGAGCCTCCGAGGAAGGGTCGATGATGCCTAGCCCCCCTAGCCTGACAGGTAGAGTGCCTTGCCGCCAGAGCAGACTCTGTTCCAGCTCACTTATTGGAACCCGTAGTTTCGCTGCTGCTAGTGCCGCTCCTAGTAGAGATTCGCTCCACGACCTCCACTCCTCTTTCTCCAGCACCGCCGCTGGCGTTGTACGCAGCATGTAGGATATCCTGCGTGACATGCTCCGCGAGAGCATGAGCATGGCGTGCTGGGGGTGGAGTTGGGCTATCAGGGGTAGCGGGGCGGACGCCTCCATGAGTCGTGTCTGTGCCTGGTCGGTGCAGAAGGTAGGCGTACCGATCGGGCTCCCCAGAACTCCTATCCCAGTGGTGTTTATTGGCAGGCCCTGTGGTGGTGGGATCTCGCTTCCCTCCGTGCTCTGTCCCCACCCTGTGGACTTGGCGATGTTGCAGCGGAGCCCGAGTGATGTTAGCTCCGTTGTGATGTCTCTCTCTCTCTCTCTCTCTCTCTCTCTCTCTCTCTCTCTCTCTCTCTCTCTAAGGGTCCGTATATTGATAGTGTTGGAAGGTACAGACATGCAAGATATGGAATGCGAGGTCTAGCTACCCAAACAAACAGACAAGACCGGTCAGTCCCACAACTACCACGCCACCGCCCTTTCTAGAGCTCCAGAAATGGCTCTACTACCGCGAAGCAATCCCCAAGGTGCAGCTCCTCCCCTATGCCTCCCACAGGTGAGTTTTCTGCCGCCGTTGCCTCGCCTAACTTTAGGAGGAGTCCCACGGATTGTGCTCTCTGTAAGGCCACCGACCATCATTGCCTGAATTGGTGCAGAAACTTGGCGGCGTAGTAGGATTTTGAGTCGGCATTGAAGTGGCGCCGATCCGCTGTGTCTGCTAGGAGCTTGAGGAAGACAGGTACCTCGGCGCAAGGACAGCCGTAGGTGTCGACCGCTAGGGGGAAGAAGCCAACCGTCTCGGGGCGGTTGGCGTAATGCTTGATTTTCTTGTCGGCCTGTTCCCGTGCCGCCCATCCCCTGCCCTTCTGTGCTTCCGGGTCCCTAGTGCTGATAGGGTCAGTGACGGTAACGTCACAGATGTAAACCGCCCCACTGCTTCTATCGGTCATGGTGAAGTCGACGGTTTGCTCCTCGATAGGGCAGTAGGCCGTTGACTCCCTGTGTACGATAAACCCTGCGTCCTGCGCCATGCTAACGCAGGCGTCTCGCAGCTCGTTGTGCGTGTTCGTGCGATGCTTGCCTGTGCCGCAGCGGAGTAGGTGGTTCGGGAGGCGGGGGTTCCACGCAATCACAGTTTTTGGGAGTGGAAAACGGTAGGCCAAGCCAGAAGCGTACAGCGTTGGCGAAGTGCACTGGCCCTATCCGCCTTGTGGGAGCGACGGGAATCGCTGTGAGCCAATCGCCTGTGCCGCCACCCTGAGGCGGTTGTAATCCTCATCTTTAGCGCACACCACGGGGCTGTCAGACTTGAGCGCCCCTTCTAGGTCCCGAAAATCAGGGCAGGGTGGGATGCGACCTGCGTTGTGCTCCGCCATGGCTATGTCCTCACACTCCTTGGATACCATGGGGAAGAAGTAGCACTCGAAGGTTGACGCCTTGCCTATGGCTGGGAGAGGTGGGTTGGGGAGGAAGGAGATGAGGGGGGGAAGGGGGAAGGGAAAATAGGGACGAGGGGACAAGGGACAGGAAGGGGGAAGAGGGAAGGGAGGGGGAAGGAGGAAGGGAGAGGGGGAAAAAGGGAAAAGGGAACAGGGAACAGAGAAGGGGGAATTCAGAAGGGGGAAGGAGGAAGGGAGAGCAAGCGAGAGGGAAGGAAAAGGAGAGAAGGGGTGAAGGGTGAGTTGGCATTGGTCGCAATCCTTGGCCCACCAAGAGAAAGATGCCCCACCAAGAGAAAGATCCCCCACCAAGAGAAAGATCCCCCACCAAGAGAAAGATGCAGCACCCACACATGGCCGCCTTGACCAGTGTGGAAAAGGGGGGCAGAGAGTGCACGGATGGAGGTACGAGGGCAAGAGAAAGGAGCATCTTGGTGTGGTCATGGTTACCACTCATGCTGCCCCTCACATGTACCTCCCCCACATGCTGGTGCCTTGCAACCCACTCGACGCCCGCCCACTTAACCAACCACCCAACCATCCACCCCCACCCACCCATCCACTTAGCCGGCCACCCACCAACCCGCCCACCCAGCGACCCACCTTGGCACTCGGAATGGTTGGCGCGCATGTAGGTGCCTGGCATGGGCAAGAAGGTGCGGTTGTAGCTGACAGCGAGGCTGAAGAGCGCCGTCATGATGTGCAGCTGCGACCCCAGCCCGTGCCGCTCCAGCGGCGACCACTCTATCAGCACCAGCTTCCGCTCCTTGCATGACGCTGGGAACTGCCGCTCCCACAGGTAGCGCTGCGCCCGCCGCGTTGCTGCCAGGTTGCCCGCATCAGGGCCGCGGATCTGGACGCGGGGATGCACGGGGAGGGGGGAATTGGGGGGTTTGCGGACGAGGCGGAGGGGGTGAGGGGAGGGATTGCGGTAGGGTGAGCTGGGAGGGGAGGGGGAGGGGGAGTTTGCGGACATGGGGAGAGGGGGGTATTCGGAAGAGGGGAGTTTGCGGAGGCGGAGAAAGGCGGTGGAGAGGGTGATCGCGGTAGGACAAGCAGGGAAGGTGGTTGGGGGGAAAAGAGGGGGGGAAAGAGGGGGGGAAAGAGGGGGCGTGGTGTGGAGTGACGAGAATGGGCGGGGAACGGGGTAAGTCGGAAAAGGGGGAGAGCGGGAGGCATCACTGCGGCCTACGAACAGCTCTCCGCCACCTTTGGTGGGTGACGGAACTATGCTTTGTTTCTATGTGCTTCGAAAAGCAAGAGGCGAGGTGTGCGTGACCCACCCAAGGCGGCTGGGGCACCCATGCGCACGCCTCAGACGAGTTGGACCACTTGGGCGACTCCCCGTTCGCCGCGCGCTTCTCTGTCGACTCGCGGAACGCAGTGCGCGCCGCGCAGTCCTCCAGGTGCGGCGGAGGGGGGACGTTTGGCGGAAGAGAGATCTTGGCGGGCGGGCGGATCGTGCCTTCCGCCAAGTCGTACGCGCTCTCCCACGCCTGCGGGGGATTGAAGGAAGAAATACGCAGAGGTGCGGGGGGGAGGCGGAAGGTGGGAAGTAGGCGGCACGAGGGGGAGCGCTAGAAAACGGAGCAAGAGGAGTGGGTTGTGTGGCATGGGATTGCGGCAACGCAAGGCGTGAAAGTTGGAGCATCAAGGAACAAAGGAGCCGCGCCAATGGCTATCCACCAAGCAAGGAGGACCCTTGATGTGAATAAGAAGCTCCTTGTGCATGGAGAGGCTTCCTGGAAAGTTCGCCGAGGTGAATATACTCCACCACCAACGACCGAATGTAGGTATGACCGACATGGGGAGAACATGCGTGTGCGACACGCGAGACAGACAACGCGACGCGCGACTCACACGATAGAGAGACATGGAATGCTCGAGATTCGACTCCATGCCGAAAATTACGGCAGCTGGAGGGACTTCCGCCGCACATCGCACCGCGATTAGTGCTGCAATGACAGCTAACAGTGGTGGCACGCTCAATAGTTTCTTCATTGCTGCTGGCAGGAGTACGATCTTTCAATGGTTTGTCAATTGAATCGCATGGAGAAATGTTTTTCCCGGCAATTTGCGGAATAGGTGCTTGGTGTCAACCGAGAATAAGGGTCCTGTGAGTCAGCAGACAATACTGGAGAGGCGATGAGAGGGGATGAGAGTGGACGAGAAGGAACGAGAGTGTATGAGAGTGGACGAGAGCGTATGAGAGTGAATGAGAGGGGATGAGAGTGCATGAGAGGGTATGAGAGTGGATAAGAGTGGATGAGAGTGAATGAGAGGGGATGAGAGGGAATGAGAGTGTATGAGAGGGGATAAAAGGGGGTGGGAGTGTATGAGAGTGTGTGAGAGTGGATGAGAGTGGATGGGAGGGGATGAGAGTGTGTGAGAGTGGATGAGAGTGGATGGGAGGGGATGAGAGTGTATGAGAGTGGATGAGAGAGGATGATAGTGTTGGAGGGTGGATGAGAGTGAAAGAGAATATGAGAGTGGACGAGAGGGACCGAGAGGGGAACCAACGTACCTATGGTGGACTAGAGAGCAGTCAGGCACGAGATAGCATAAAAGAAAGGGATGGGGCCACAGGGGGGATGCGAATATTCGAGGCTTTGACCGGCAATGACATAGCATGTGAGGGAGAGAGGAAAGATGGGCAGGAGGCAAGAGAGCATGAGAGGGGAGGCTAGCAAACGAGAGAGCATGAGAGGGCAGGTTAGCACACGAGAGAGCATGAGAGGGCAGGTTAGCACACGAGAGAGCATGAGAGGGCAGGTTAGCACACGAGAGAGCATGAGAGGGCAGGTTAGCACACGAGAGAGCATGAGAGGGCAGGTTAGCACACGAGAGAGCATGAGAGGGCAGGTTAGCAAACGAGAGAGCATGAGAGGGCAGGTTAGCACACAAGAGAGCATGGGCACGCTGGCCTCGGCAGTGGCCAGAGAGGCGCGACGCGCGTGGCGGCGGGCTGGCAGCTTGGCGCATCATCGGCGGCGGATCGTCGCATTGCATGCCTTGCCTCCATCAGGTCCGGCCGGACCTCCGCCGGGCCCGCCGGACCTCCATCAGGTCCGGTCGGACCTCCACCGGTTCCGCCGGACCTCCACCAGGCCCGGTCGGACCTCCACCGGGTCCGCCGGACCTCCACCAGGCCCGGCCGGACCTCCGCCGGGCCCGCCGAACCTCCACACGGTCCGAGCCGACCTCCGGTGGTTCTGCCGGACCTCCACCGGGTCCGGCCAGACCTCCGTCGGGCCTGACCGGACCTCCATCAGGACTGGCCGGACCTCCGCCGGGTCTGCCGGACTTCCGCCAGGTCTGCCACGTCACACCACCCACCCATCCCCCCTACCTCGATGCCACGTCGCACCCGCCTCGCATGCCACGTCACACCCCACCCACCCGGCCGCCACGTCACACCCAACCCAACTCACCGCCACGTCATCGCCACGTCACTTGCCGCCAAGGTGCAAAATTTCGACAAAAGTAAAATACGGTCCATTTTTTATGCTTGTATTTTACGGTCAGATTTCAAAATTTCAGCCGTTAGAGATTTTTGTGACACTTTTTTTTTTTTTTTGAAAACAGTAGAAACGACTCCACTCCTGACCAGGATAGCAAAGAAGCAATACATGCTAGCAAAGTGTCCAGGTTGCACTCATTTAACCCTCCTCCTCCTCCTCCCCCTCACACTCTTCATCCTCCTCCTCGAATTCGCTGTTGTACAGTCTCACAGACGAATCCCCTTGGCCTTTCTCATGGCTAGTTCATCCAATCGAGGGTCATGATTGGAAACAATAGTTGAAAATATGTGTACACCGGTTGGTTTCAAGATTTCAGCCGTAAAAAACGCCGTTTTTTTGCACCACAATGAAATGACAAGATTTTGGCGTTTTAAACCGTTTTAAACAGCAGAAAACTACGATGGCGTTTTATACACCATAATTTCAAAATTTCGGCCGTTTTTTTGCACCTTGCTTGCTGCGCCGCCCACCATCCCCCCTACCTCGCTGCCACGTCGCACCCACCTCGCGTGCCACGTCACACCCCACCCACCCCGCCACCACGTCACACCCAACCCAACTCACCGCCACGTCGCGTGCCGCCCGCCACGTCACCGCCACGTCATCACGCGCTGTGCGTCACTGCCACGTCGAGCGGGGGGTCGGGGGAGGGGGGAAGGGCAGAGACAGTGAGAAAGGGGCAACCACGGACGGACAAGGCTGCCGCGCTCCGCTCTGCACCTACCTATCAAGTCCAAAGTCCCCCCCAAAGTCCCCCCCCAAAATCCCCCCCCAAACCCCCCCCCCCAAGTCCCCCCATAATTTCCCCCCCTACCCCCCAATACCCCTCTACCCCGTCAGGAGCAGGGGGGTGTTGGGGGGTAGGGGGCGACTTAGCATGAACATGCACGCATGCAACGAGGGAGGGGGGGGGGGGGGGGGGGGGGGGGGGGGTGGGTGGACGAGACGAGACGAGAGCACGGCGCGCTCGCCACGGCCCGCTTCCCACCGCGCCAGCAGCGAGGCAGCCCGAGTGCTGATGCCGCTGCTCGAGCCCCCGTACGCACTGCCCGTGCGCACGCGCGCACGATGCTGCTCGCGAGCACGCGCGTTTGGTTTTCGCGAGCGTGAGCTGTGCTGCTCGCGCGGCAGCAGGTGTACGGGCTGCTTCCCAGTCGTAGTAACCTGGTTCCAGCGGCGCATCTACCACGGGGGAGTAGCGCGAGTCTAGGGTATTCCTCAGAACTCTCGAAAACAGAGTGACCTGTCAGACTTGGATGCTCCGCGCGTAGCTGTTTCTGACCTTGTTTATCTGGTTCTGGCGGCGCTTCGTGAACGCGATGGCGAACAGGCGCAGCGTGTCGTTGTCCGTAGTCTTCACGTCCACGTGGCACTCGATCAGCGTCTGCCACTTGCGCACCAGCGATCGCAGCTCGTCAGTCGTCAGGTCCATGCCCTGTAACGGGGATAGGAAAGGCGGGATACGTGGTAGGAGAATTACAACGGGGGGAGCCTGATAAGAACGAGGGTTCCACGAGCGACTACACGAAATTTTTGAAAAAAAACTGAATTAGGGTTAAGATTAACTTACCCGAGCTAAATCTGAATCATGTAGCATGAATTAGGGTTAAGATTGACCTACCCGACAGCCATGGCGCCTGGTCAAAGAGTAGAGTAGCGCCTGGTCAAAGAGTAGAGTAGCGCCTGGTCAAGAGTAGAGTAGCATCTGTGGTCAAAGAGTATAGTAGCGCCTGGTCAAGAGTAGATAGAGTAGCGCCTGCTAAGATGCCGTTACCACGGTTTGGACAGGACGTGATTCTGCCCACGCGTCTCGTAATTCGACTGGATGGTGCCCATGGTGGGGCACCTCCCCACTTTGGACACCACGATGTCTTATGCCCAGAATTCGCAATTTCGGCGACAGTCTCGCCTCCAATTACAGAGCAAAACAAAGTTTCGCCAACCGTAGCGAGGTCCAACATTAATTTTCAGGTGTATTTTCTCAAGTAGTTCTGTTTGTTCGAGCGTGGAGTTGACTTTGGTTTCTGCACGGGGAGAGGGTTTCTTCTCAATTTTTAAAACGTTTTCGCCCCAAAAGTGATTCGTTACCCTGCCCTTCGAGTGCATTTCACATCGTGGTTTGCAGATGTTATCGTTTGACGTCCGATTGGGTAACCATGATGGATCTTACGACCCAGATTCTTTGCCCAATGGTGTCCGGACCTGGAGTCGCGACCATTCAAAATTTACAACATTGGAAATTTGCGAGCCGCGTGGACAGACTCACACTTGTCTAAACCGTGGGAACACTCCTGAGTAACGCCTGCTGGGAAATGAGGGACGAGCGGGGAGGGGAGGGAAATGGGGCAGGCATCGGGTGCAGGAAGTGAGAAACACGAAGGGTGTTACTGTTAGAATGAATGGTTCGGATTCTTTTGGTTTCAGATCTAGGGTCAGAAGTTACTTTCTTTCCAACGGACACGGCGCTAGGTTATACTACGGAAAAAGGGTTATTATACTAATAGTCACCATCAAGGGCGCGCTATCACAAATGGTCACTCAGTTATCACGAACGGTAATTGAAACGGGCAAATCTATCATGGATAGTCACTGATGGTCACTTGTCACCCCACGATGTTATCACGAATGGTCACCCGAACAAGCGCCCGCCCGAAAGTTGAAATGTTTCCCCTGCGATGTCACACTGTTGCGTGCTATTCGCGGCATTGTTTGTCTTTTTAGCGCGCTTATTCTGTCTGTCTTTTTTTCGCGGCATTGTTTCTGTCTCGCGGCTCTGTTTTGTTCGTAGTGTTGCGAGATGTTACTTCAGAAATAGTTTCGCGACCTCTCTCGCTAAATCGTTAAAAACATCCGAAGTTTCTTGGTAACATCGAAAAGTTAGCTCTTGGCGCAGTGTTCACTATTCGATTGTCCATTATTCGATAGATGCATAATGTCCCTTAGAATATCACTTTTAGAAGGGTGAAACTAGAAGGTTTATTTATGTTCCCAAGAAAAAAACTAAAACCCATTCGGATGGAATTTCCTTCGGGAGGCATAAACCCTAAACGCATTATCGTATGGTGTTTATGGTTGATTGTGAGAATAATTGACGAAAGAATGAATGAACTAGAAAATGAGATGGGTACAAGTAGGAAACACATAAGTGTTGTGCCCTCTAAGAACTACCCCACTACAGCCTAAATAGACTATAGCAGATATAAGTTTGACACACCCCCATAGGCAAAGTGGGGGAAAACAAGAGGTCACAAGACCAGTCAAGAAAAGCAAAGCAAGCTCAGGGTGGATCACAAAGTCACCACACAGTCTGAGCACAAGCAAAGGGCCATAAGGCCAGTTCACATGCAGAGTTATATAAAGGAAAGAAAACAGTACAGTGAACACAACCTAGCAAGTGTAAGCATGCAGGTATAAGTATATAGAGTACAGTACAAGCAGAGTCAAGAAGTCAACAAGTGAGGCACAGTAGGTACAAGGCCTAACACAGTACAGAAACGCTGATGATCACAAGGCTGAAGTGCCTTGGTGAAAACATCAGCAGTGTTGGCCTGAGAGTCCACGTAAGCAAGACGAAGCTGGCCACGCTGCTGCAACTCTCGAGCAAGGAAGTAGCGCAGAGCAATGTGCTTCGTTCTGTGCTCCAGTCTGTGCTCCTGACACAAGGCCAGCATGGCCTTGTTGTCGACGTACAGAACTGGAGGAGAACGAGGCGCCTCTCCAAAGTCGGTCAGCAGGTAGGTGAGCCAGCGAAGCTCCTGTGCAGCCATGGCCCCAGCGTAGATCTCAGCCTCACAACTGGAGCTGAGAACAGAAGAAGAGCGGGTAGACCGCCAGGAGACAGAACCGGAGCCAAGGCTGAAGGTGTAACCCTGTGACGACCGCTGCGTAACCAAGTCGTCAACCCAGGAGGCGTCAGCGTGACCAGTGAGGACAACTCGAGCCCGTCCTCCAAGCACGAGCCCCATGCCCGATGTACTGCACAAGTATCGCAACACCCTCTTCGCAGCATCCCAGTGCACCTTTCGGTGCCTGCCGGGAGCCACGTAGCGAGCCAGAAGGCTGAGAGGGTATGCGAGGTCAGGTCGTGTGCAAGTCATCAGGTACATGAGGCAGCCCACAAGCTCTGGATACGGGCCACTCGGCTCTACGGACTCGTCCGAAGGTGGAGCTGAGAGCGAGTGACCGGTAGGCAGAGGAGTGGACTGTGGCGAGGAGTAGGTGAAGCCGAAGCGCTGAAGGACCTGCTGCACCATGTGTGACTGAGTCAAGGTAATGGTGCGCTGTGCTCTGTCCCAGGTGATCCGCAAGCCAAGATAGCTTATGAGCTCACCCAGGTCTGTGCACGTGTGTCTCTTCTGCAGCTCGGACTTCACGTGGGCGAGTGCCTCCGTGTCAGCAGTAGCAAAGACAAGGTCGTCTACGTACACAAGAACGTAGAACGGCGGCAGAGTAGCGTCAGTGCGTAGAAACAGAGAAGGGTCAGCAGTGGAAGGAGCAAAACCAAGAGCAGCAAGAGTCGTCCTGAGCGTGTCGTGCCACTCACGGGGCGCCTGGCGGAGACCGTAGACTGGCCGCCGGAGGCTCCACTGGGTACCAGCAGGAACACGACCCAGTGAAGCCAGGTGGGCGGCGCAGCCAGATCTCCTCGTGCAGGCTGCCCTGTAGGAAGGCTGTGCTGAAGTCAAGCGAGTGGAGCTCGTAGTCACGCTGAGCAGCAACGTGCAGCAGTACCCGAAGAGTGGTCATCTTCGGGGTAGGGGAGAAGGTCTGAAAGAAGTCAACTCCCTGTCGCTGACTGAAGCCACGTGCAACGTAACGCGCCTTGAAGGCAGGCGGAGAACCCGGCGGCCGCTTCACCCTGAAGATCCACATGCCACTGACGATGTTCGCCCCAGGTGGGGGAACCTTGTCTACGTAGGTGCCTGCGGACTTCCAGGAAGCCATCTCTACGTCCATGGCTGCCTGCCACTGAGAGGAGTAGGGACCCTCTATCGCCTCTGCGTAAGAGCGCGGGGTCGGGATGTCTAGTGCATCCGGGTCTCCCTCAGGGGCAAGCAGCATGGACACGAGATGAGGTGAAGCAGTGGCAAAGCACTCAAGGTCCTCTTGCATGTCCTCAAGGACGTCTGTGCCAAGAGAACACTCACCCTCGACGGACGGAGGACAGACAGACGCAGACGCAGCAACAAGACTAGTGGCGTAATCTAGGCGACAGGCTGCAGCAAAGTCAACAAGCTCAGCAACAAGAGCAGACGCAGCAGAGGACTCAAACAGAGGGTCACTGACAGCAGTGGCCAGAAAGCGCGTGACAGTAGGACTAGCAGCATGAAGGGAGTCAGACTCCGGGTCCGGACCGTCAGGAAGAGAGGACGCAGGAGGAGAGGGCAGAGGGAGACGCTGTGAAGCAGTACAAGGACGCAGTGTCATAGAGTGAGTGCCTGGGACAGGAGGAAGACGTGGACGCGAAACACGACCATCGTGAACAGTGCGGATAGGCGACGCAGAACGAGACGCAGGCGACACAGGACGCGACTCAGGCTCACGACGCTCCGTAAGACCTCTAGTCGGACCAGAGTAAGGAGAAGGACCAGGCAGGGGAGGGGCCGGCTGCAACTGCGACTGAGACTGGACAGGCGGTGGACTCAGGAAAGGAGGAGGAGGACCAGGAGAAGGCAGGGAGCCAAGAACCTGCTGAAGGAGCGGAACGTAGTACGGCCACGGCCGCGCAGCGCCTCGAGAAACAGCAGAGACAGAACCGGTACCCTCAGCCCCAGGGTCTCCAGTCCCAGCAACACCTCGAGCAGCTCCAGCACCAGCACCACCTCTAGCAGCGCCAGCACCCCCAGGAGCTCCAGCACCAGCAGCACCTCCAGCAGCTCCAGCACCAGCACCACCTCCAGCAGCACCAGCACCTCCAGTAGCTCCAGTAGCACCTCCAGCAGCTCCAGCACCAGCAGCACCTCTAGTAGCTCCAGCACCAGCACCACCTCCAGTAGCGCCAGCACCTCCAGTAGCTCCAGTCGCACCTCCAGCACCTCCAGCACCAGCAGCACCTCCAGCAGCTCCAGCACCAGCAGCACCTCCAGTAGCTCCGGCACTAGCACCACCTCCAGTAGCGCCAGCACCTCCAGTAGCTCCAGTCGCACCTCCAGCACCTCCAGCAGCTCCAGCACCAGCAGCACCTCGACAGCGCCGAGAGTACCACTCACGAAGCCGCTGTGGAGAGAGGGGCTCCCGCCGCGACGGGACACCCAGAGCACCTCCAGACTCAGCACCCCCAGTCTCAGCACCCCCAGTCTCAGCACCCCCAGGCCCCGCACCCGCAGGCTCAGCACCCCTAGCAGCACCTGAGTCGACAGCTACCTCGACCGGCTCGGCAGGGTCTACCTGGGACACACCTGAGGGGGCAGGACCCTGGGGGGGGGGAGGGGGTCTACCAGGGGAATACCTGGTGCGAGGAAGAGCGGCGGGGGGGGGGGGAGAGGCAGTGCGGTAGGGAAAGAGACGGTAGTACGACACCGACTCGTCGAATGTGACGTCCTGAGAGGACAGAATACGACGCGAGGTGGGGTGGTAGAACTGCCACCCGGGTGCGTC